AACAGAATTTCAATACAACAGATGAACCTGCTGTCCGATCAGCTTAAATAATAATAATACCACTAAAGACATACTCAACATCTCTTCTGAAATAGTATGGGAATTCTTACTCTTCCTAAAAAGTTCATAAAAAAACTACCAACAATGGTACTTTGATCATAGTAGGAGTAACTGCATAGTTAGTGTGAAGTCAGTTCATCTGAAATAACTGTAATTAAGTGTAAAAACCTTTGCCTTACAAACATATATATCGCCGACACTCTCTCAAGCCTTCATTTGCTTACTTTCAAAGCTAAACTCAAAGGCTACTTTAAGAGCCAGTAGTGGTTATCTCATTTTCCTTTGTTCACTTGAGTTCACTGAGAATGTACTAGGTAAAATTGATTTCCACCAGACGGAGACAAATTCATAAATTACTGTTTTACCTCTTTACTTGAGACTTCCTAATCCAGCAAGTGTTGAATAAAGTATGCTGTCGGTGTTGAAAAGTCACCACGTATTTACCTAACATGCAACACTCAGGGGTCCTGCCCTCCTTCATGGTCTGTCACAAAAACCAGATGAGGACTCTTCCTCCCTTTCTGCAGGGAAGCTGAGCAGGGTTCTATGGCCACTTTAATTCCAGCCAACAATGAAATCATCCTCAACTTTAGTCTCAGAGGCCAGGTGGCATTTGTGTTTTGTCTTTCGCAACACTTAACTCAGGATCCTGGATATACACACCAGTCATTTTATCTACTGATCTCCTAGTTACATCATTTAAGGTTGCTTAAAAAAAAAAAAAAGATTTTAGCCCTGGCTGCTGTGACTCCATGGATTGAGTGCAGGCCTGCAAACTAAAAGGTCACTAGTTCAATTCCCAGTCAGGGCACATGCCTGGGTTGCAGGCCAGGCCCCCAACTGAGGGCATGTAAGAGGCAACTGATTGATGTATCTCACATACTGATGTTTCTCCCCCTCTCTCTAAAAATAAATAAATAAAATCTTTTAAAAATAATAAAGAAAAGATTTTATTTATTTTTTATAGAGAGGGGAAAGGGAGGGAGGAAAGAGGGAGAGAAAATCTATCAGCTGTCTCTCACATGCCCTTAAGTAGGGATCTAGCCTGCAACCCAGGCATGTGGCCATGACCAGGAATTGAACAGGCAACCCTCTGATTCTCAGTCTCATGCTTAATCCACTGAGCCACACCAGATAAGGCAAGTTTGCCTTTTTTATAAGAAGGAAATTTATGGCACAAAACTCTGTGCCATAGTCTTAGCCTAGTCTTTAGATACTGGGCTCCACTGTAATGTGCTAACTGTGGAGTGTGTCAGAAAACTGAAGCTAAATTTTAAATATCTATTCTTTTTAACAATATCAACTGTTCAAAAACTAAGAATGGCTTCATTCTTAGTAAAAATGGATAGTTAATATGACAATTTATTAAAACATTAGGTCAAATATCCTGTTCATTAACTTCTTTGATTTATGCTGGCAGCTGTCTTCTTTACTAAAACACACCAATAACTGGTCAGTCCTGGACTTGGCCTCAGGTGATATTTAACTTTAGGTTGTTAAAGGCTTTCCTTCAATAGGCCAAACCTACTTTCTCAACTGCACTTCGGAAGAATTTTTATTTTCTTTATGAATGATGGAGCCCTTTTATTTGCTCTGACAGCAATGTATGATTTCAGGAATTAATACAAATGATGTCTTATAAATGGCTGATGTTTACAAAAATAAAGACCAGTATTGAGGGAGGATATGAGGACACCATGATTGAAGTAGCTGGTTGGGCAGAGGACCTTCCTCCCTCACTAGGGGGCCTCTTCTAAGACCCCTAAGTACTGTAAACAACAAGCTGCCCTCTTCCTCCTTGACCAGTATGACTCAATTGGTTGGGCATCGTGCCTCAAAGAGAAAGATCTTGGGTTCGATTCCCAGTCAAGGCACATGTCTGGGTTGTGGTTTTGGCCCCAGGTCAGGACACGCAAGAAAGGCAACCAATGAAGTTTCTCTCCCTCTCAAAATAAAACCTAAGAAAAAAACCCCTAAAATCCCAAACTGACATCTTCCTGTAGCAGCTCTCATCTTCAGAAAACAGAACCTAGGCTCTGAGGTTATATTCTAGGCTCAAATCCCAACTATGACCTCCCACATACTGGCTATGCAAACTCAGGCTGATATCTCTGTGGAATTGGGCTCCTGCTACAACACAGTTATTTGTGAGCAGTCAATGTGCAATATATGAAGAGCACCTAGCAGTTCTTTGGCATGTAACTAGTATTTAAAGTATCTACTATAACCAATACTACCACTACCTCTATTAATAAAAGTAGGGTTGATTCCAAAAATCAACCATAGCTCTGAGTTCTTACCACGTCTACAGAAATAAGTGTCTTCATAATGCTTCTATTAAGAACCACCTTGTAGCCTAGGCTAAAATACCATTATTAACATGTGATTATTACTTCAGTGACCTAAGGCTTGTCCTCTTTGGAGAGCAACAACTTCTAAGTCATTCACTGTTCTTTTCATTGTGAATGCCAGAAAACATAAGAAAGAATACTGGGCTGTCTGAGAGTCATACACAGTTTTATTTTACCTGGGTCCTCTTTTAACCTTATACTAAAAAGAAACTAAACTTGATAAATATGCTATTACTACAGAAGACTTGATATGTATTGAATACTAAAAGAACCACTGCATCCAAGTAGTAAGATTTCAAACAATAACCAGATTAAAATATCTAGAAAAGCTTAGAGGTAAAAAAAACAAAAGACAAACAAAAAAACCCCTCTAGTTTCACCTTTTGAAAACAAGCTACAAAACAGTTTATTAGAGGGTATGACCTTATACCAAAGAGATTTGTAAGGCAGGAAAAAGGCAAAGAAAAAAGTGGTTTCTGAATTCTTTCCTCTTATTGGTGTCCAGATGTCTGTTCAAATCAAGCTTTACATAGAAGGAAACAAGACTGTTGTTTCCTTTGTGACAGAGTTAAAACAGAAATTCAATTCAATATTGGCTTGGCCAAAACTTTGAAATAATTTTGTTAGACTGTATTCTAACAGCTGTCATATCAGCGTGCATTAAAAAAATAATAAAAGTCAAAAGTAGTGAATTTTGTGTAGCAATTTTAATATTTAAGATGGAAGAAAGTAAGCAACATTTTTATGCTTTATTATTTTTTTAAATTATTTTAAATTTATTTTTAGAGATGGGAAAGGAGGGAGGGAAACATCAATGTGTGATTGCCTCTTGCGTACCCCCCTACTGGGGACCCGGCTCACAACCCAGGCATATGCCCTACACTAGGAATTGAACTGGTCACCTTTTGGTTCCCAGGCCAGCACTCAATCCACTGAACCACACCAGCCAGGCCTGCTTTATTATTTTAAGAAAGGTAAAAATTAAACTGAAACACAAAAAAAGATTTGTGCAGTATATGGACAAGGTGCTATGACTATTTGATCATGTCAAGTGGTTTACAGTTTCTAGGTACCTCTGACATTTTGGCCAAATAATTCTTTGCTGTGGGGCTGTCTTATGCAATGGAAGATGTTTAGCCTGGCCTCTTACCCATTAGAAGCAAATAGCAGGAGATAGCCAAAACACTTAAAATATCCAAATCAATAAAGTTATTGGTGAAAATGTAAAACATGTATTTTCTCATGGAAAAACTAAACAGACTTTTTGCCCAACCCAATAATTGCATCATGAGTAGTAAAAAAGCACCTGAGCTACAATTCTAGCCTACTTATGAAAGTTTTCCAACAAAACAGTCAGATGAAAAAGCCACAAACAAGAACATGTATGAATGACTCATGAAACATCAACAAGGGAGAGGGGACTGACTGCAGACAAGAGGAGTGGGCTAGGTGGAGGGGGGCAAAATGAAAAAAAGAAAGAAGAGAGAAAAGAAGGAAGGAAGGAAGGAGAAGGAAGGAAGGAAGGAAGGAAGGAAGGAAGGAAGGAAGGAAGGAAGGAAGGAAGGAAGGAAGGAAGGAAGGAAGGAAGGAAGAAAGAAAGGAAGAAATTGGGACAACTGTTAATAGAATAATGTTAAAAAAACAAAACAAAAAATATACCCCACAAACTTTGTGGTAATCACTTCAAATAATTGTTTCTGTATTTTTGGAAACCCTATCATACACATCATACACAAAAACACTTGCTGTATGAAAAATTGCCCTGCAAAATACAGATCTACCTATGTAATTGCTTTAAAAGTTACAGATTTAGGAAACTGCACAGAACTTTACATTTTAATGTCAGCTTAGCTTAAAGAAAAAACATAAATATAGGATTCAAAAGTTTTGTTTTTAGATCCCCTCCCTTTACTATGTGCCAGATCATTCTAGGCCTGTTCTTTCATTTGTAAAAGGAAAGTATTTGTTTCCTAACCCCCACCCCCAACAGATGGTTCATGAGGCTTCAATATGATGTGAAGCACTCTGAAAAACTCTCTTACAAGTGTTAGCATAACATTACTAATAAACTCAAGGGGATGCAGCAGTAATAAACATTTTCCAGAACTTTGTTCAAATGTAGAATTTTTTCCAAGATAAGAGTATCACCATAACAGACTTAGGGCAAAATGTTCCAAAAATCTTAAGATTATAACTGTGTGTTAGAGACCCAATAACTAACCTGGAGAGGAATTGCATTAATCTGAGTTATGGTCTTTGACTGTCTTAAAAAAAATGTAGTAGTAATTTGGGAGGGAGCACAGCCAGGCTTATGTACTAAAGACACAGAGGGTAAGTGTAATGCTACACCTCCATCTAGGTCATAGGTCGTTCTATTGGGATTATGGACAATAAACTTATCTTTACATATTTCAATTAGTTTAAAAGAGAGCAAGCTGAAGGAACTTCATCCACATTAGGACCCTCTCACTGAAGTACAAAGATTCGAGTGAACCAGATAAAACCTATACTCTAACACAGGTCTAAAAGAAAAACAAAAATAACAACAAAAAAGGAAATTCTATTCCTAATATCCAAGGTTGTACTCACTGAAAGCAGAAAGTTTGTATTTCCAGGGGAACAGCTACAACAGAGTGGAGCTACTTTGTCTCTGAAATGAATTTTCTTCCTTCTGATTCCATTCCTTCTTCCTGTACCTAAGATGGAAATGCAGGTGTAGTGAATAAACAAAATCAAGGTAGTGTAGAGGTAAGAGATGGTTTTTGAAAAACTACAACTCAACAAAAAAATTTTTAAATATTTTATTTATTTATATTTAGACAGAGGGGAAAGGAGGGAGAAAGAGGGACAGAAATACCCAGGGGTTGCCTCTTGTAAGCCCCTAACCAGGGACCTGGCCCAAAACCCAGGTATGTGCCCTGACCAAGAATCAAACCAGTGACCTTTGGGTTTGCAGGCCAGTTCACAGGACAGAGCTCAGTCCACTGAGCTACACCAACCAGGGTTCAACAATGCAATTTCTAAAAAACAAATAGCCAAGGAACAGGCTTGCTTTACTTCAAAACATTTCAAAATCTAAATAAAAGGCGGCAATGGCAGTCCCTTGCACTGAATCACCAAGAAGTGAGAACATTGAAGATCAAAGATTTTACTGAACCTGAACATGAGATACACTTTAAAACTTTCTCCACCATTAATTTAGATCAAAAATTGCTCTCAGGCCAAGATATATCATTTCAAGGCTCTCCACTAGTTTCAGAATACAAACATATTCCCAAATCCTCTTCAAAGATGGTTTTGAAGAATTACTAGATAGCATGCCAGGGCTAGGTCCTGAGGACATACCACCTTGTTATTCCAGATGGAGAAGAAAACTGGAAGTAACAGCCATCCATCCTTACCCTTAGTGTTGCATAAATCTCTTCGCCAACTCTCCCCACCCCCTATTAGTAGAAAACTAAGCTATTCCCGAAGATGTAAATAAGCAGGAAGACTCCCGGCCCCACCCACTCTATCCAAGAAAAGGGCAGTGAAAGAGGATAGGCCCACCGGGATAAAGGGGTGAGTGTGGCAAAGTGAGTTCCGATAAGGTCGCCGAACAGAGAAGGGCAGGGAATGAAGGGCAAACCCCACAACCTGGGAAGGAGGCAAAAAAAAAAACAAACCCAAAATGTGTAGGGGGTGGGGGGACAAAGGAAACGGGAGCTATGGGTAGGTAAGGAAGGAGAGACTGAAAGTGGGGTTGGCGAAAAAAAAAAAAAAAGTAAGAAGAGAAAGACGGTGAAGCAAGAAAAGGACGAGACCGAGTGGGGAAGAGAGACCGAGGCAAGCAGGGGCAAAGTAGATTAAGAGAAAAGACGAAAAGTAAGAAAAAAGGGGGTTGAGGAAGGAGTACGGAGAACTGTGAGGAGGATTAGGGTAGACAGCCCAGCGACGGGTAGGGGCGGCGGGGCCAAGTCGCTGGGTTGGAATCCAGACGCCCGGCTGAAGAGAGAGGGGGGAGGGGAGAGGAGGAGCAAGGAGGAAGCGACGGGTGGGGCCGCCAGGAGGCGCCGGAGACCCCCAAACTTTACCCGGACCCGAGACTGTTTACCGTAGAATGTAAGGAAAGGAGTGGGAGCCTCGCCTCACAACCCAAAGCAGGGGCTACCGCCCGCCACCCCCAGTAATGCCTCAGACCACCGCCCTCAGTAGGGACACGGCCACAGGCCTCGCCCGCCTGCTGCCTCCCTTCTCCGACGCCCGGGGTCCCCTACCCCACCCTGCCCGGACCGTCACATTGACCCCAGGGGCCTGCAACCCGGCTGCTCCCCTTCCCTAGCTGATGAAGCCCAGCAGAGGAGGCGCAGCCCCAGTTCCCCACCTTCTCTCTCGGTCCAGGCGCAGCCGGGGTGGACGGCACCTCTCGCGCTCTGTCTTATGCTTCATGGAGCCATGCGCCTGGGTGGGGGCTCCCGAGAGAAGTGGGCCCGCGAGCGGACGGGACGCGCGCGGCACGGACGGGGCGGAGCAAGAAAGGCCGGCGGGCCGTGGGAGAAGAACTGGAGGTACCGCCGGGCAGCTGGAGGACTGAGTGATGCCTAGACCAGGCGCCCGGTATCCCAGCAGCCACCGGAGGCAGTGCAGTAATGGAGGACGGATGTAGGGAGTTCTCCAGTGGATTACACGCCCTCTAGCCGAGCCGTGAAAACGAACGAGATCAGAGCGCCGACGGAGCACGCTCCACTGCTGTCACGTGGCCCCAGTCGGCGCACTTTATTGGCTAGAGTTGAAGTTAGCCGGCTGTTTAGCAGTGGTGAGGCCCAATCCTGGGCAATTGGAATAAAGAGGGTTCTGCTGCGAGGAGGAGCGAGAGGAGGCCGTCGCCGCAAACGGTCCGAAGTTCTAGGGGGCCACTGTCTCGGCGGGAGGTGGAGCGTACGCCGGACGTCTCGGCTACGTGAACGTGGGAACTAGCGAGTGGTGGGCGCGCTGGGATTTGTAAAGCGGGCTCCGCGGGCGGCGGCTGCGAACGTCAGCCTGGGTTTCTGACCCGGCTGGTCCACTCCGCCCTACATTAGGGTACGACCCTTAGCAGTCCACGGCTTTTCTTCCCAAGCGCCGAGGATCACGGTGCCTCACCTATCCCGGCCCAGGCCTTCCAAAGCAGCCGGGAAAGAGCAGCTCTGACCAGCTTTAAATCAAACCCCTCATCTGGCCAGCGAAGTACTCCAGGAGGGTCCCAGGCCCGGTGCCAGCTTCCTCATGGCCCAGGAAGGGCAATCTGCATTCATTTTTCGGGGACTGTCAGTAGTCCGAATTTTTGCCTTGACCCTCAGAACTCCTAGGCTGGAGATGACTTCAGTGGGATTACCCACGGTACAGGATTATTCAGTAAAGTGACTAAGCATATTCCTCAGCGCCAGCAAGGCAAAGACCTAAAAAAGAACAATAAAAAAACATTTTAAAAATTAAGAATAAATTATTTTAATTCCACGTACTTGTTATTTGATTTGAATTGATGACTTAGCATTTCTATTTTTAGAAAGTTTTTCTTGCACTAAAAGTCTTTCTTGTTTTAAAGCAAAACCAGTCTTATTAACAACACTTGAGCCCACATACTGTTTTATGTTTTGCTATTCTGTTTATGCACAAAGGAATCCTTAACAGGTTTGTCCTCAGCGAGCAAAGAAAAGTAGTATAAAAATGCAATATGTACTCAAGTGTAATATCTACTACTACAGACTTTTACATAATTGTAGGCTACAAAACCTGAGGAATCTGTTTGACTGGTTCCTCTTGGACCTGGGCCTCTCAAAGAGAACCTGGTAAAAAACCAGAGAGAAAGGAAGAAACTAGTGCTTTGTACAAGTGACTTCATTTTTTTTAAAAAAGTTATTTCTATAGCAGTCTTCATAATTCCTCTCAGTCTTGACATGCTTTATCTGCTGTTGAGGCCACATTTTCCAGTTTCCAACCCATCTACCTGAAAATCTACAAATTAGAAAATTCATATGGCTGAAAGTGAGGAATATAGGAAGCAATAGACAGAGGCCAGTTTTTTTATTTGTTTCTGAATAAGACTGAATCCTGATTTATAATAATCAGAATAAATTTCAAGTAGTGAAGGTCTTTCCAGCTGAAAGTCTTAAAACATGGCATGTGAAAAAGGGCCTTAACTATTGCTCCAAATGCAGTACTACGTTGTCATTGAACAGCCTACAGATAATGAACAGCCAATGGCTATTGGTCCCTGATTGTCGAGCTATGGGGAGGTAAATGATGGCACTAAGTTGGACTTGAAACACTCCCAAATTAAAGCAGAAACCTTGCTTTGTGTTGTCAAAAAGGCATTTTATTGAGGAGTAGGACCTAAATGCTGCTACTGTTGCTTAATACCAAAAGGCAAAGGTTGGGATTTTTAAAAAGTCACTTTGGGCTCACCTCACATCAGCAAGCAAATGATGTAAAGGTAAACAGAATCAAATTATGAACTGGAGGAAGAAACTAAGGGCAATATACGTCTTATTTAGGAGACACTGTGTTATTTATATTCTCATCTACACATAATAAGTCTTGTTGTACACAGTAGGGATATAATTATCTATAGCCTTAATGAATAAGTGAAGAGAAAAGCCAACAAGCACTGGGAAAATAATACAGGTGGGAAAGGTGAACTGCAGAAAAACTAGCTGGCCCAAGTTCTCTACATGGTTCTGAAATGTCATCCCAATCTGCTATAATGTAGCTGTAGCACTGTTTACCAAAACTAGCTCAAAACACATCATCTGCCTCCCTAATGCACATGTTTCCATCATTTCTTACCTTGAATGGTTAAAAATATATGGTAAGAGATTAGATCTTATTGTTCTCGTCACAAAAAGAAATGGTAATTACAGGACATGATGGAGGTGTTAGCTAACTCTGTAGTGATTAATAATATTACAACATATGCATGTAGCAGCTCAGTGCACTGTAACTTAAACTTACACAATGTTCTGTCAACTATATCTCAATTTTAAAAAAGAATATGGTAATTATCGAGAAAGTGCACTCTGGCTCTGGCTGGTGTGGCTCAGTGGATTGAGCGCCAGTATGGGAATCAAAAGGTCACTGATTCAATTCTCAGTCAGGGCACATGCCTGTGTTTCGGGTCAAGTCCCCAGTGGGGGGCATGTGAGAAGCAACTGACGTATCTCTTGCACATCAATGTTTTTCTCACTCTCTTTCTACCATCCTTCTCTCTAAAAATAAATAAATCAAATCTTTAAAAAAGAAAGAAAAGAAAAAAAGAGAAAGGAAGGAAGGAAGAAAGCAAGCACTTTGGAATCACACTGCATGGATCCAGATTCCAGCCATGACACTGAATATTTATGAACCTAGGGCAAGTGAATATGTCATTGAGTTGTTTTATCATCTGTAAAATGGGTTTTGTAGTGGTATTTAATTCAAGGTCATTATGAGATTTAACTAAGTTTATACACATAAAGCTGTTATAGGATTAGCATGTAAAAAATGCTAATAGCTGTGAGCTTCATTAGTAAATATTAGGATGTCGTGATAAGGGTGAAATTAGCCTGCACAGCAGAAACACACATTCTTTTTGATTTGCACTTTTGAGAAGCAATGAATTGAAGCACTAAAGACATTTGCCAGTCTGAGTATGAAATAGGATTCACAGGAGATATTGTTGGGTGATACAGATTTCACCTATTTTACTTTCCAGGTTGACAAGGTCTCTTTTGAGAAATCAGCTGACAGTCTGATGGGAACTCCTTTGTAGGTAACTGTCCCCTTATCCCCTTATCTCTTGCTGCTTCTAGGATTCTGTCCTTCATTTTAATTTTGGCTAATATAATTATGATGTGCCTTGGTGTGTTCCTCTTTGGGTCCCCCTTGTTTGGGACTCTCTGAGCTTCCTGGATTTCCTGGAAGTCTATCGCCTTTGCCAGATTGGGGAAGTTCTCCTTTATTATTTGTTCAAATAAGTTTTCCACTTGTGGCTGTTCCTCTTCCCCTTCTGGTACCCCTACAATTCAGATGTTGGAACGTTTAAAGATTTCCTGGAGGTTCCTAAGCCTCTCCTCATTTTTTTTGAATTCTTGTTTCTTCACTCTTTTCTGTTTGGTTGTTTCTTCCTTCCTTCTGGTCCACTCCATTGATTTGAGTCCCAGTTTTCTTTCCATCACTATTGGTTCCCTGTGCACTTTCCTTCATTTCACTTAGTGTAGCCTTTATTTTTTCATCTAATTTGCAACCAAAATCAACCAGTTCTGTGAGCATCCTGATCGCCAGTGTTTTGAACTGTGCATCTGATAGGTTGGCTATCTCTTGGTCGCTTAAAAGTATTGGCTCTGGGGCTTTGATTTGTTCTTCTGTTTGAGCCATAATTTTTTGGTCAGGTTGTGCCTGTTAGGTATGAGGGGAGGAGCCTTAGGTGTTCACCAGGGCCGGGTGACCCAGTCACTGGGGGTGATGCTGTATGTGGGAGCAGGGTCAGAGAGGGAACAATGGCACTTGTTCTGCTCTCTCTCGGATTTCAGTTCCCTCTGCCTCTTCCCACAAACAAATTGGGCCCTTCTGGTGCTGGTTCCCAGGTGGGTGGGCTTGTGTATGTTCTAGGACCCTGTGGGTCTCTCCAACTAACTCTCCTATGAGGCTGGGAGTCTCTCCTGTCACCTTTTCAACCGGTGCTTTTAGGCTTTATTTCCCATTGCTGGGGCCCTGGATTACACGGTCTGTCTCGCTGACCATTTTTGCCTGGTTTATCTGCGCAAGAATGTGTGATCACGGTCACCCAACTGCCTTGCACACCTCAATGGGTCTGCTCATTTCCTCCCTGCGCCCAGGTCTGCCAGCCACCGCCTTTTCCCGTAGCGACCTCTCTCTACCCGACTCTACCCTTCTTACTGGTCTGGATGAATGGTTGTCGGACTTCCATGCAGTTCAATTTTCTGTCAGTTCTGGTTATTTTTTTTTGTTTGTTTCCAAATCTTTTTTTAAAGATTTTATTTATTTACGTTTAGAGGAGAAGGGAAGGAGAGAGGAAGAGAAGTATCAATGGTTGCCTCTTATATGTCCCCTGCTGGGAACTGGCCTGCAACCCAGGCATGTGCCCTGACTGGGAATCGACCTGTGGTTGTATGGTTTGTAGGCCTGGCTCAATCCGCTGAGCTACACCAGCCAGGGCTGTTTCTAAATCTTTGCTGTCATAAATTTTGGTTGTGTGAGGAGGCACAGTGTTTCCACCTACATCTCCATCTTGGCCAGAGTCAGCTTTGCTTATTCTTGAATATCATAGAAATGGACTTATATAGTATGTATTCTTTTGTGTCTGTTTCTTTTGTTTAACATTATGTTCCAGAAATTCATCTCTTTGGTTATATGCAACTACAGTTCATTCTTTTTCTTTACTGCACAGACTACTATGCTAGTAAATACATATTGAATGAATACTAAAGACATATTGAATGATTTTGCCACAATTTGTTTCTTTAACATTATTTTAAAACAATCTTGTTTCCTTCTCTGAGTCTAGAGATTTAAGATTTTTTTGTAAGAGCTCATATTATTTTGCAACCTCAATGTAGTTCGTCCTCACATTGCAGTAATTAAAATGGCAACTGAATCAGTCAGAAAAAAGGTATTTCAGAGATAAAAATACATCTTCATTTGCCAAGCCTCAGATTTATGTCATCTATCCTCTCTGCC